GTGAATCCCACAAGCTGACCACACTAGGCATGAGAGCACAGCTTAGTCTGTCCTCTAGCTGTGCTGAGATCTCAGCCTGCTCTCCAATGATCAAACTTGCTCTGACAGCCCCCCCCCCCCCCCTGCACAGCCATTCACTGGCAAGACCACTATATCGCTGTTTCTCCTTCCTAAGCTTTCTGAGCTCCTTATGCAGCTGAGAACAGAGGGTATGTGATCACTTATAAAAAAGAGAAAAAAGGTGTTTTTATAATGTTAGTGTATGTGTTTTTTTTTTTTTTCTTTTTTCTATCTTTACACAAATGTTTTGTCTTTCATTTCTATCTTAAACTGAATGGTTTTTTTTTTTTTTTACAGAGGGTTCACAAATACTTTAACATGTATTTGCTGTATATAGCCAAGGGAAGAATGAATCCTGTCAGCTTATTTTATGCTGATTCTCTGTCCTGCTAGGGGGTTTCCCTTCACTTCCTGTTTCAGAGACACAACAGAAAGTGATAGGAAAGTGAGGCATCATTCACTCCAAACAATATTCTTCTTTGATCTTAAAATGGGGAGTGGATAGAACTGTATCCATAAATGCATTCATGTTGCCTTGCGTTGCAGCAAGGCAAAAATAATGCTGCCTGCATAGTTCAGCAGGGGTTGAAGCTTTGAACTGCCTCTGACTGCTACTGTAACATGCATTAAACATGCTGTAAAGGCACCTATAGTGTTTGGGAAGCATTCAAGATGCGGATGCAGAGAGTTAAGCATGCTCAGGATAAGGAACACAAAATAAAATCGGCACAAAGGGCCTTTGAGGAGCATTACTTGTTAAAATTCAGTGCCGGTGGCCTTAGGCCTTGTTCACATGTATAGAGCAATAAAAACAGGTGATTGAATAGCAGTTTATTGCCCCTTGAAAGATCACATGCAGTCCCTCAGGGTGTTACACATGCAGAAACACAAATTATATATCATATTGCTTTTGTCGGGCAGTACTGCTGCCAAATGCGACCAAATCAAGTGAATGGGTGGTACCGCAAGCCAAATGCACAGTATTTACATAGAAAATCTCCATTCAGTTTAAAAACAAAAAAGGGGGGGGGGCATTTAGGAGATGGCAGAATCACTTCCTTATAAAATTAGGTGCACCGCTACAGTAAACATAACCACATGTGTAAAATATGCATATATGAATATATAAATGAGAACATCCAATAAAGTGACCAGTGACAAGGTGCAAGCAAATCAAAGTGACTCAGTGGTATCATATAACTCTGTCACTATGTAGTAACCAGCGGTGCATGAAATAAAGTGCTATAAATGGTAATCAAAAATTGACCAAAATTGTGCCTCCCACTTGTTAAGGAACCAAAAGTAATGGGACAATTGGCTTCTCAGCTTTTCCATGGCCAGGTGTGTGTTATTCCCTCATTATCCCAATTACAATGAGCAGATAAAAGGTCCAGAGTTTATTTCAAGTGTGCGATTTGCATTTGGAATCTGTTGCTGTCAACTCTCAAGATGAGATCCAAAGAGCTGTCACTATCAGTGAAGCAAGCCATCATTAGGCTGAAAAAACAAAACAAACCCATCAGAGAGATAGCAAAAACATTAGGTGTGGCCAAAACAACTGTTTGGAACATTCTTAAAAAGAAGGAACGCACCGGTGAGCTCAGCAACACCAAAAGACCCAGAAGACCACGGAAAATAACTGTGGTGGATAACTGAAGAATTCTTTCCCTGGTGAAGAAAACACCCTTCACAACAGTTGGCCAGATCAAGAACACTCTCCAGGAGGTAGGTGTATGTGTGCCAAAGTCAACAATCAAGAGAAGACTTCACCAGAGTGAATACAGAGGGTTCACCACAAGATGTAAACCATTGGTGAGCCTCAAAAACAGGAAGGCCAGATTAGAATTTGCCAAATGACATCTAAAAAAGCCTTCACAGTTCTGGAACAACATCCTATGGACAGATGAGACCAAGATCAACTTGTACCAGAGTGATGGGAAGAGAAGAGTATGGAGAAGGAAAGGAACTGCTCATGTTCCTAAGCATACCACCTCATCAGTGAAGCATGGTGGTGGTAGTGTCATAGCGTGGGCATGTATGGCTGCCAATGGAACTGGTTCTCTTGTATTTATTGATGATGTGACTGCTGACAAAAGCAGCAGGATGAATTCTGAAGTGTTTCGGGCAATATTATCTGCTCATATTCAGCCAAATGCTTCAGAACTCATTGGACGCTTCACAGTGCAGATGGACAATGACCCAAAGCATACTGCAAAAGCAACCAAAGAGTTTAAAGGAAAGAAGTGGAATGTTATGCAATGGCCAAGTCAATCACCTGACCTGAATCCGATTGAGCATGCATTTCACTTGCTGAAGACAAAACTGAAGGGAAAATGCCCCAAGAACAAGCAGGAACTGAAGACAGTTGCAGTAGAGGCCTGGCAGAGCATCACCAGGGATGAAACCCAGCGTCTGGTGATGTCTATGCGTTCCAGACTTCAGGCTGTAATTGACTGCAAAGGATTTGTAACCAAGTATTAAAAAGTGAAAGTTTGATTTATGATTATTATTCTGTCCCATTACTTTTGGTCCATTAGCAAGTGGGAGGCACATATGCAAACTGTTGTAATTCCTACACCGTTCACCTGATTTGGATGTAAATACCCTCAAATTAAAGCTGACAATCTGCAGTTAAAGCACATCTTGTTCGTTTCATTTCAAATCCATTGTGGTGGTGTATAGAGCCAAAAATGTTAGAATCGTGTCGATGTCCCAATATTTATGGACCTGACTGTATTCGTCGTGTATATGGTGTTGTGGTTTTTTTTTTTTTTTTTTTCTTTTTTGTAATACTGCGTTTTTTGATTCCTTTCAATGGGAAGGTGCTTGCTTCTTTTTTTTTTTTTTTTTTTTTTTTTTTTTTTTTTTTTTTTTAAGCACATCAATGCAGGAAGCAAGATGGAAGAAACACTGATCAGTGAAAAAGGGGCCCAAGGTTTCCGTCTAGTGGTGATCTTCCAAATGAATCTGAATTTGTGTCCCTCAGTGGATGAGAAAAAAGAAAAGTTTTGTCCTTACCTCATCAGTGAGGGCAGAGGAAAAGCAAAGGAAAAAAGTATCAACCCCACCTGTTTTCTGTACTGGATTATTGGAGGATGTTTCACTACGTATTGCTTTCAGTAAAGCAGCTGCTGTGGGTATTCGGGTATTTGTATTCTTTTCATTGCAAAGGAGTCTGTAGCTTGTACGAAATATAAAGGCATTGCAAGGTTAGCTTGAAGTTTGTAAAAAACATTTGTATGAAAACTAACCTGAAGAAAAACCCACAAAATGTTCTTCATTTCTACAGAGTTTTTTCACCTGAATTAAAGTTGGCTGGAGCAGGAGATGCTGACAGTGGAGGTAATCATTGTGTTTGTAGTGTTCTTAAAGAATAAGTGCACCTTTCCACAAAAAATAATTAATGCACATTTTTTTTGCAGGTAAAAAAAAATTTGCATTTATTATTTTTTGGTGTTGGGAGCCTGTAAAGCATTGCACTAGCGATCAGTAGATCGTTGGCGCCATGCAGGTCTTTTGCACACTGTCAGTGTATCTGCTTGGTCGTACATCCCGTACAGGGAAGCGGATACTTGCTGACAGGAAGACTCAATGAACTATGAAAGTGCTTACAGTGCTTGGGTAGTTCAGTGAGGTTTACAAGATGACCGCTGCTAAGGCTGTTGGGACTTGGAGTCCATTCATTCACAAAACACTGTCAATGAATGACATGGCAGTGTGGGTGGAGCGCCGCTGCGCTGTTTTTAAAAACTGACAGCTAGCATGGGGAACTTCTCCCTGTACTTCTGTCACGGGGGGGGGGGGGGGCAGTGGGCTGCGACTGAAGGATCGGAAACATTTTACAATACATGTTCCACCCTAAAAACATGTGACATGTGAACTTATCCTTTCATGTATTTTTTTCCTAGCAGAAATGAAGTCCATAAATTACCATTGCTGTAGATGTAGTTTGCTTTTTTTTTTTTTTACCATCATGCCTTACTTCTTTGCTAGTGTCCTAGGAGTTTGGATGCCTTTTCATCAGCAACAGCTTTGACAGAAATTCCTGAGCTCAACTGAGCTAAATTGTGGGGTTAGCCTGGAATGTGACCTTTTGGGCACTGAGATCTGCTTTGTAGCCGTTTCCAGACGTCTGTGTACTATTAGCTGCAGTGTGCTCTCAATGCCCAGAGCTGATGCACAGCCTCTGGTGTGACTCAGTCTCAGAGGACAATGGTAACTGTTAAAATGATACTAAAGCTAAAAAAAACAGCCCTTTGCTTGCCTCTATCAGGTCCTCGGGGTACTATTCCTCCCATTGACACCAAAAAGGAGGATTTCTTCCACTAGCACAAACTATGGGGCATTTTTTTTTTTCCACTGACACCAATGATGGGGCACAATTCCTCCCACTGATATAAACAAATAGGCACTATTCCTCCAACTAATGCCAAGGATAAGGGACTAATCTTTCCTCCGATACCAATGATGGGGAGCTATTCCTCCCCCTGACACCAATGATGGGGAGCTATTCCTCCCCCTGACACCAATGATGGGGAGCTATTCCTCCCCCTGACACCAATGATGGGGCACTATTCCTCCCACTGTCACCAATGATGGGGCACTATTCCTTCTAGTAATACCAATGATGGGGCACTATTTCTCCCCCTGACACCAATGATGGGGCACTATTCCTCCCACTGTCACCAATGATGGGGCACTATTTCTCCCCCTGACACCAATGATGGTGTCGGGGATCGCCCAGGCGCAGTGCACCGCCCTGTACAGGGACGCGGGCGCTGGGACCTGGCCGACCGCGACAATCGAGTTCGCGCATGCGCAGTAGAGACAGCAGGCACACGCCTGGCACCAATGACAGCGCAGGGCGGGATATTTAAATGGCCCTGAGCTGTCATTCAGTGCCTTCTGGTCTCCTTGTATCCTGTGAATAGTAAGTTGCTGACCCGGATTGTGCCCTGACCTTGCTGCTTTCTCCTGTCTTGACCCTTGCTTGCCTGACCTCTCTCCTGGATGCCCCCTATTGGATCTGACCTGCTGTTGCTGACCTGGCGTGTGACCCGACTATTCTCTGCCCGCTGCTTTGTACTGCACCGTCCCCATAGTTACCGACCCGGCCTGCCTGACTTTGCACTTGCTCAGCCATCCATCCATCCCTCTCAACGGGGTCTCCTGGCGAATACCCCTACCACTGACTGGTATCCTCAGTAGTCACGACCTGGTCCCGGGCTACTCCAAGTCCATCCCCACCATCAGGGGCTCTGGTGAACAAGTATTCTGGGGCTTAGACTCCGTACGCTGGGGACGCCTGATCAGTGGAGTGCTGCTAGTGGTACCGCCGGGCGGTCCCTTACAGATGGGGCTCTAATCCTCCCCCTGACACCAATGATGGGGCACTATTCCTCCCCCTGACACCAATGATGGGGCACTATTCCTCCCCCTGACACCAATGATGGGGCACTATTCCTCCCCCTGACACCAATGATGGGGCACTGTTCCTTCAACTAATACCAATGATGGGACACTGTTCCTTCAACTAATACCAATGATGATGAGGCAGTATTCCTCTAGTGATACCAATGATGGGGCACTATTCCTCCCACTGTCGCCAGTGATGGGGCACTATTCCTTCTAGTAGTACCAATGATGGGGCACTATTCCTCACACTGATACCAATGATGGGGCACCATTCCTCCCACTGTCGCCAATGATGGGGCACTATTCTTTCTAGTAATACCAATGATCAGGCACTATTCCTCCCACTGATTCCAATGAGGGTGCACTATTCCTCCCAGTATCGCCAATGATGGGAGACTATTCCTTCTAGTAATACCAATGATGGGGCACTATTCCTCCTAGTAATACCAATGATCAGGCACTATTCCTCCCACTGATTCCAATGAGGGTGCACTATTCCTCCCACTGTCGCCAATGATGGGAGACTATTCCTTCTAGTAATACCAATGATGGGGCACTATTCCTCCTAGTAATACCAATGATGGGGCACTATTCCTCCCACTGTCGCCAATGATGGGAGACTATTCCTTCTAGTAATACCAATGATGGGGCACTATTCCTTCTAGTAATACCAATGATGGGGCACTATTCCTCCCCCTGACACCAGTGATGGGGCACTATTCCTCCCCCTGACACCAGTGATGGGGCACTATTCCTCCCCCTGACACCAGTGATGGGGCACTATTCCTCCCCCTGACACCAGTGATGGGGCACTATTCCTCCCCCTGACACCAGTGATGGGGCACTATTCCTCCCCCTGACACCAGTGATGGGGCACTATTCCTCCCCCTGACACCAGTGATGGGGCACTATTCCTCCCCCTGACACCAGTGATGGGGCACTATTCCTCCCCCTGACACCAGTGATGGGGCACTATTCCTCCCCCTGACACCAGTGATGGGGCACTATTCCTCCCCCTGACACCAGTGATGGGGCACTATTCCTCCCCCTGACACCAGTGATGGGGCACTATTCCTCCCCCTGACACCAGTGATGGGGCACTATTCCTCCCCCTGACACCAGTGATGGGGCACTATTCCTCCTAGTAATACCAATGATGGGGCACTATTCATCCCACTGACGCCAGTGATGGGGCACTATTCATCCCACTGACGCCAGTGATGGGGCACCATTCATCCCACTGACGCCAGTGATGGGGCACCATTCATCCCACTGACGCCAGTGATGGGGCACCATTCATCCCACTGACGCCAGTGATGGGGCACCATTCATCCCACTGACGCCAGTGATGGGGCACCATTCATCCCACTGACGCCAGTGATGGGGCACCATTCATCCCACTGACGCCAGTGATGGGGCACCATTCCTCCCCCTGACGCCAGTGATGGGGCACCATTCCTCCCCCTGACGCCAGTGATGGGGCACCATTCCTCCCCCTGACGCCAGTGATGGGGCACCATTCCTCCCCCTGACGCCAGTGATGGGGCACCATTCCTCCCCCTGACGCCAGTGATGGGGCACCATTCCTCCCCCTGACGCCAGTGATGGGGCACCATTCCTCCCCCTGACGCCAGTGATGGGGCACCATTCCTCCCCCTGACGCCAGTGATGGGGCACCATTCCTCCCCCTGACGCCAGTGATGGGGCACCATTCCTCCCTCTGGCGCCAGTGATGGGGCACCATTCCTCCCCCTGGCGCCAATGATGGGGCACCATTCCTCCCACTGGCGCCAATGATGGGGCACCATTCCTCCCACTGACGCCAGTGATGGGACCTGTCACGTTTCCCAGAAGACTATGGGGAGGGAGGATAGGAGGACAACTTCCGCTTCAGATCGCCTGCGCGATCGCAGTGGAAGTGGTACCTGTAAAATTCGGGTAAATGTTAATTATGTTAAACATCACATCACACCCCTATCTTAAAGCAGAATTTAACCCCCCCCAGAAATACTCGCTTCCAGTGATGCAGTGGTTACATCCCAGGCTGGCAGCTGTAATCTCCCCAGCTACTTCCAGATTTTTGGCCTCTTGGTTAGTGGTGGAATGACATCATGTTATGAATGCACATGGGAGTCCATCCATTCTTGCACAGCCAGGGCAGCTCCATGTGCGTTCAGTAGAAGAGTGCAAGCAGGCACGTATGTGTTTGATATTGCAGAAAAGGCGAAGAGCTACTTGTTTGCAATTTTTTTTTAATAGTTAAAAATAGTAAACCCTCACCTATACCCAGTGACATGACTGGCCTTGGGTAATTCAGAGGTGAAACAAATCCTCCTACATAAGTTGTACCTGCCTATCTGCAGCCGTTTGTCCTGCACATCCTTGTTAGACTCAGAGATTAAAAGAATTTTTCACTGACTCCCAAAGCTGGAGGCATGGAGATACACACTGTACAAGAGCTCTGAGAACTGTTTGGAGGGAAGAGATGCACCCCCTTCACACAGCACTTAGCAACATAGCTGAGGCTGTCAATCACAAGCTGTGCGCTAGAGATCCCGATCCGCCGCCACCTTAGCTCTTGATGTCAAGAAAACTTGTCAGAAGTGGCTCATGATGATAGTAGAGGAACTTGACAGCAGAGAGAAATGACACTTGCTTGGGCTTTGGAGAGAGGCAAGAAAACGCTTTAGAAATATGTACTTTGCTGAGTTTCTTTTATGTTATGGCAAAAGACACATATAAAATAGGTGTTATCCAAACTTTGCAAAAGTGGAAAAGCACTTTTAAGAAAACAAGTTTGTTGAATAAGGCTGACTATATATTTTTGTAATTTTGTGTATTTGAACTTGTGTTTTTGTAACCTAGCATTTCTTTTTGTAATTCTTTTGCAGGTGTTGAAACAGCCAATTGTCTCAGTAAGGAGTAAGTAAAGTGGCAAAAAAAATTTTTTTTTTTCTTTTTTTTTTTTTTCTAGAACTTTTGTCAACTTAAAGCACAAATATTGTAATTCCTGCTATGCAAACAATTTTTACCTCTGCTTAGTGTGATACATTAGAAGACAATTTATAGATGTGATCACTGCATTAGTTTTCTTTTTTAATCTTTTTCTTTTCATCTGGTGATGTAAGTCTGTTATTTTTCAACAGAACAAGCTGTTCTATAGATGTCGCAGTTAGGTTTGAGACCTATAATTTGCCACTGACTGGGGGGTGCTTACAGATTTTATTTATGTAAAACCGTTATCCCAAAAAGAAAATTGTTGCTGTAACTGCTTTAAGTGTTAGCTGGAGAATGGCTTCAATTTTATTGTATCTAAATCTACTTGTCTAAACACTACCTGCACTACACTTCAGGGCACATATTTTCAAAGGGCCTCGAAAGATGTTAGGTAGTCAGGAAACTGGCTGTCGCATTTTGACAGGCCCTACAATTTGGTTTAAGAAGTTAAAGTTAAAAAAAAAAAATTAAAAGTACAAGTCCCTAAAAATAAAAAAAAAAATAAAAATTGATTTTTTTTCTTTGTTACTGTTCTACTGTTACGATTTTACAGTTTTATTTTTATACATAAGTCAGTGTGGGCAGCGCTGTTGTTTGAGATTTTTCATCCGTAGTTAAAGAGCATATATGTCGAAGCATGGGGGCCTGGGGTGGCCAGTGGGTGGATGGCCCCTACGCTTTGGTATATATTTAAGAAAAAAAATTGGCAGAGATTTCTTCATCCACATCGACCGATATGAATAGAGGAATCTGTTAGGTCCTTTTTTTTTTGCTGAACGACAAAAGAAGAACATTTCATGTGTGCCCACCATTAGAAGTGGGTGCATGCAGGGCGGTATATTCTAATGGTGGGCATACCACACACTTTCTGGTAGAGATTATTTTCTCTTTTTTTTCATTCTGTCCACAGGCTGCATAAAAAAAAAAAAAGAACATAGCATATACACCAAACAAGGACCAAAGACTGCAGCTGAAGGCATCATGCTGGTATAACTTTTTTCAGCCGGCGATCGGCTTTCATGTAAAAGCAATCCTAGTGGCTAATTAGCTGCAGGATTGTTATTATAAGCAGCGGGAGAAGATGCCCCCCTCCCCCACTTCCTTCCACGGCCTTCTCGGGCAGTCCTGTGCCATCGGGGGGGAACCTGAGAATGCAGCCGGTGTTTCTGCCAGCTGACCATAGAGCTAATTGGAGACCAGAATGGTGCCAATCATCTCTATAGTCTAATAAATTGGAAGCTGCGAGCATTTCATCACTTCAGTTTCGCAGGATATAAACAGCGCCATTTGTAATTGGGAAAGCATCTGATCACACCGATCTTGGTGAGATTAGATAATGTAAGGGCAGAGGAGAGATCTAGAGTCTGATAGACCCCAGATTTCTCAAAAAAGAATATGACAATGCCCATTGAAGTTATAGGGGATATTTGCATTCCCTGTGATAGCATTAAAAGTGATTAAAAAAAAAAAAATGAAAGGGAAAGTGTAAAAATTGAAAAAATCAAAATAACTTAAAAAAACAAAAAAACAAAACACCCTCTCCCCCCCCGCAGGGTCTGTCCTAACAGAGGGGTAAGGATTCAGGAGCTATGCCATTGTATGTTAATAAGAGGTAGCTTAAGCTATCCTTAGCCTTTCTTGTGGGACAGACTTGCCCTAAACATGTTCAGAAATGCTTGCAGTTAGCCATTAAACCTTCTTCTAAGAAACATCTAAGACAGTGGTTCTCAACCTTCCTAATGCCGCGACCCTTTAATACAGATCCTCATGTTGTGGTGACCCCCAACCATAAAATATTTTAGTTGCTACTTCATAACTGTAATTTTGCTACTATTTTTAATTGTAATGTAAATATCTGATATGCAGGATGTATTTTCATCGTTACAAATTGAACATAATTAAAGCATAGTGATCACAAAAACAATTATAATTATAATTCATGAAGTGTTTTACC